AGATACGGTAACTCCTCACTTAACGTTGTAGTCATGTTCCTGAAAAATGCGACTTTAAGCGAAACGATGTTAAGCAAATCCAATTTCCCCATAAGAATTAATGTAAATGAGGGGGTTAGGTTTCAGGGAATTTTTTTTCACCAGACAAAAGAATATATATATATATATACATACACAGAGAGAGAGAGAGAGAGTATAAGTTTTAAACAGACAATTTAATACTAGTACACAGTGATGATGATTGTGACGCGTGGTTGAGGTGGAGGAGTCAGAGGGTGGGATATTTCCCAGGGAATGCCTTACTGCTAAATGATGAACTAGCAATTGGCTGAGCCCTCAAGGGTTAACTCTCACACTCTACAAGGCAGCAGCAATGGAAGGAGGGAAGACAACATCACGGACAGAGACAGAGTGTGTGTGAGAGAGAGATGCGCATTTCCCCTTTAAGCACACTGCCTTGTTAATTAGATCAGCTTGCTGAGACTGCAGCTGCTGCCAGCAAGCTCCCTCCGTCCTGAGCCCTGTCGTGTGTCCCCCCTGCTCTATGGAAGATGGCGTAAGTGGGGTGCAAGAGCAGGGGGGAGGGGGACACCCTGACATTAGCCCCTCTCTTCCTCTCCTTCCCCCGCCCGCCCCCCCAGCACAGCAAGCAGGAGTCTCGGGGAGCAGCTCCAAGGCAGAGGGCAATAGCAGCACATGGCAGTGGGGGGAGGGACAGCTGCAATTGCTAGCCTGCTGGGCAGCTGCTGCACAGGGAACTTAGGGGAGCAGGGAGCTGATAGGGGGCTGCCAGTCCACCATGGTTCCAAGTCCCCACCAGCTAGCTGCAACGGGCTGCTCTTCCTGCAAGCAGTGGACAAAGCAGGCGGCTGCCAAACGATGTTAGAAGGGAGCATTGCACAACTTTAAACGAGCATGTTCCCTAATTGATCAGCAACGTAACAATGAAACAACGTTAACCGGGACAACTTTAAGTGAGGAGTTACTGTACATACATATAGTCAATATTCATAACTTCAGATACAAAAATGATACATGCACATGAATAGGACAATCATATTCAGCAAATCAACTTTTCCAATGATACCTCACATGGCTCATCATAATCATATTGTATCATAATTATACCCCCATGATGAATATGGGGTGTAATGTCATAATATTTTCTCCACTGATTTCTTTTTAAAATATAAAGCTTTATAGGAAAAGCTGTTTGTAAAAATCTTGTGTTACACACTGAAGTGCTCAGAAGTGAGAAAGTGCCAAAATTGCATGTAACCATAACTAGACCACCTTCTGTATATAAATTGATATAGTCTTTCATTACAAAGCCACATACTACTCCTTTAATACAAAACATTATTGTATACAATGTAGATACCATTTGTTGTACTATGTATTTCTCTGTATGTCAGATTCTGTGATGCTCAGATGAAAAGTATACAGTAAATCATATATACCAACATTTGACAGACTAAGGCTTGATCTTGCAAAGAGCTCTCTGTCTTTGCAGGTATTTACCTTTGCAGGTATTTACCTGTGCAGAGTAAGTGGTGGGAGCAGACTTTTAGCTTTGTATTTAAGTTTCTCATCCCATTAATTGTATCCAACAAAATCTGTTCTGCTGGGGAGAAAAAGATAATGTAATTTCTTTAAAAAAATACAGAGTGATTAATAGTAAGAAGAGAGCTTATATCAAGGCCAGATCAGTAAGCATAAAGTGGACAATTGACAGTTAAATTGTTATATGAAAAAAACTCCCTAGATTGTTGGAAAAATGGCATAGGATAATTCTGAGATATGATCATGCAATTAGACTTATTAACATAGATGCACAAGGGAGGAGAATTAGGCCTGGTCTACACTAACACCCCAATTCGATCTAAGGTACGCAACTTCAGCTACGTGAATAACGTAGCTGAAGTCGACATACCTTAGTTCGAATTTACCGCGGTTCAGACGCGGTCCACACACGGCAGGCAGGCTCCCCCGTCGACTCCGCGGTACTCCTCTCGCTGACGTGGAGTACCGCAGTCGACGGCGAGCACTTCCTGGTTCGAATTATCGCGTCCACACCAGACGCGATAAATCGAACCCGGAAGTTCGATTGCCAGCCGTCGAACTACCGCGGTAGTGTAGACAAGCCCTTAGAGTTTCATGTGCAACCAAATTTTGGAGTTTGCCTTCAGTGCTGAACAGTTAGTCTCTAAGGTGCCACAAGTACTCCTGTTCTTTTTGCGGATACAGACTAACACGGCTGCTACTCTGAAACCTATTAAAGTAGTTTTTCATACATACAGTCAGTCAGTCCTGAGGAAAGTGAAACTAATGGATTTAGCCATATCCATGACCAATCTTAAAGCATCTTCTGTTAGAAATCCCTAGAATCAAATCTTTTACATACTGAGATGAAACTGCACTAATTCTTCAGTATGCTGTCTTTGTAGCAGCAGGGATAATTCATTGGAAGTTGGTCATAGAGTTTAAGACTAAAAATGACCACCAGATCATCTAGTCCAGAGGTGGCCAACCTGTGGCTCTGGAGCCACATGTGGCTCTTCAGGAGTTAATATGCGGCTCCTTGTATAGGCACCGACTCTGGGGCTGGAACTACAGGCACCAACTTTCCAATGTACCGGGGGGTGCTCGCTGCTCAACCCCTGGCTCTGCCACAGACCCTGCCCCCACTCCACCCCTTCCCACCCCGAGCCTGCCATGCCCTCACTCCTCCTCCTCCCCCCAGAGCCTCCTGCATGCCATGAACCAGCTGATTGGGAGGTGCAGGGAGGGAGGGGGAGGCACTGGGAGTGGGGTGATGGTGCTGATGGGGGGCTGCTGATGTATTACTGTGACTCTTTGGCAATGTACATTGGTAAATTCTGGCTCCTTCTCAGGCTCAGGTTGGCCACCCCTGATCTAGTCTAACCTCCTACAGGCTATTAAATGACACCCAGACCTGGAATTTTACCCTACTTGATCCTTAGTAAGTCTTCTCCTATCAGCGAGATTTGAATCTGCTAAGTCAGGAAGTTTGTCTACACTGCACTTCAAAAAACACCCTCCTGAACAACAAAAGTTTTACCAATGAAAAATGCTGGTGTGAACAGCGCTTTGTCAGCAGGAGTGCTCTCCTGCCGACACAGCCACTGCCGCTCATGGGGGTGGAAGTTTTTTGTTGGCAGGACAGCTCTCTCCTGCCGACAAACAGCAGCTACACTGCGTGCCTTTTAGCGGCATGGCTGTAGCGACACAGCTGTGTCACTAAAAGCCTCGTAATGTAGCCATAACCTTAGTAACGCCTCTGCCTCTTGTCTTTATTTTCTTCTCTCACCCTGTTGGTGCGTTATCTTAAGGTGGCATCTTGTGTCTTTCTAGAAAAACAAAAATATGTGAAAAATGTGCTTGCTGTTGTATGCAAAACCTGTTGTCACTTCAGCTGTGTTCCTTGGCAGCTTGTTCTACCTTAGGACTCAGATGCTGGTGCAAAACAACAGCCTGTTCCAACAGCAGCTGAAACAAACTAAAAAAATTAGTGTTGGACACATGTTTGTCAGCAACACAAAGTTACAGGCTAAATACAAAGCAGATAATAGCCAATCCACAACAAACATTGATTTAGCAGTTGTACAGATACATGAATATCATCCAGAAATCTTTGCAGCAGATTGCACAAGTAATGGGAGTTGTGACTATGCTGGGCTTGTCTAGATTATTCTTTGCTTTCATCTTCTGAAAAGGGGATGCATATAGGCAGGAGCATTGCTACAGCAATCAGCATTCTGGTCACTAGTCACTCTTCCCATTGTCTTTTGAATTATTTTCTGGAATTTTCTTCAGTCCACCAGTCTGGTTGTAAGGTGTATGCATGTAATACTTCAAAGCAGCTGGCTTTTCAATGGCACTGGGTAGCATTTAAGTTACCTTGCTATCATTTCCTTACCTATTACAGGATGGACATTAGTAAGGTTGCATTTGCAGCTGCTGAGGCATGCAGGGTGGGTTTGTTTTTTGGGGTGGGGATGAGGGGGGATGTGGGACCGGGGCAGCACATTTCCAATAAGCAAAAACTATTTGAAAATGGTTCACTAGGACTGAAGACTTTCATTTCATTCTATTCACATTTTAAACTTGTTCAGGCTAACTCCGATTAAACACAATGGCTATGTTTACATTAGTTTTATTTTTTGTTTCTCACTAGTGCTGCCATTGGTAGCCCCGGCATAGACTGGCTGCCAACATTTTAACTGTCTCATCTAATGCTGGTTGGGAAAATGGCAGCAGCTGCCAGCAGTCTGTCTACACTAGAGTTGCTGCTGGTGGAACTGCAGTGGGGGGTAAAAATGAGACATTTTAAGTAATAAGTCTAGAATAGACACAGCTCATTAAGACAGCAAGTGGTTTCTATCTAGACTAGGTCATAGTTTCCCAAAAGGTTTGGCCCCATCCACATTCAAAGTTGAGTTAAACCTGAATCAGTCCAAAACAATGTTTTAAAGGGTTTCAGCAAACATGGTGTAAGCCTCAGCCATGCTTGCTTACTTTTCAAAATCTGGCCCCTTTCTCAGACAGGCCACTCGACTGTTTTTCTTAAAAATTCCCACCTTTGCTACCACTGGTGGAAAAACAAAGTCAACTATAGGCACAGCCTCAAAACTATTTCCTATTCCTGTAACTACACAAGCAGTAGCCCCACTGTAGCCTAGCTGCTGTCATTTGAACCAATGTATCATTTCACCTGTCTTAGGCCATGTCTACACTACAAACTTATGTCAACTCAAGTTACATCTCAGTACATTGCTTGTGTGCGTGAATATTTGGCTCCTTGCATCAGTGGTGCGTGCACTCACCAGGAGTGCTTGTATCAGCGTAGTGCTATGCCCCAGGGATAGGTATCCCACTGCATATGTTGTGACCTAATAAAAATGAATTATGTTCCAAATAATAGAATTTTATTCTGCAACAAAATCAGTGCAAAAAAAGGGGCAATTTGAAAACAGATATTAAAAACTTAATTTAGTAAATTTTATTAAGAAAACAGAAATTACAACAGGGAAAACATTCATATCTATTTCAGCTATACATACGCTAACCTGTGAAAGCCACGGTTGCTGTATCTGAAGCTCAGTTTGTCTTTAATTTCCCCTGGGGTGGAGGGTTAAGGGTAATGCAACAATCTCTGATGCCCCACAAAATGTGTGTGTGTGGGGGATGTAGGGAGGTCCCGATATTGAGTTCTCAATGGGCTGCAGAAGGAAGCAAGCCCAGGATCTATAGCATTTGTGTTTGCTGCCTGAGAAGCCCCATTATGTCTTCGTGCATCTCCCTCTGCTTTTCTTGTTGGGACTCCTGAGCCTTTCTTTCTCCTGTCCACTCTTTCTTTCTCCAAGCTGCCTGCAATGTTCACCCTGCAGGCCCTGTGCTCACGGTCCAATGTTGCACTGGCTTTCAGGATCTCACTGAACTTGTCATCCCAAGTCCTCTTCTTTCTCCTCCTTATCTGACTTGGGTGATCTGTGGGTGTGAAGGGGGAGACCTTACATGCTGCAATGGCAGCTGCTGAAGATAAAACACACAGAGGTACCATTGTCAGTGTATACACTAAAGAAAGCAAAACTTAAGATGCTGATCTCACTCTTCTTGCTCCCCTAAAGTTTTAAGCACTACATTCTCACTTCTTCTTGGGATTGTTTGTGCACTGTTTCAGTCACAGCTCCAGCCACAGTGTCTGTGGCCTGCCTGGAGTTGGGGAAATGAGAGGGGAATTTCTCAGTTGCATGATTCTAATAGTAAAGTAAAGGGAAATGGGACTGAAAATTGGCACCGTTTTCCACAGGTAGTGGTGATTTATCTCACACCTGAGGGTAATAAAGGCAGAGAGAGCACAGACCTGTATGCTGTTAGTCTGGGTACTGCAGTGGTGCCTGCTGAACTTATTGCTGAATGGTGTGGGAAAGCATCTTACCACGGAGGAAGAAATAAGGCAGCCTTCCCTACAAACTTTTGGCAGAGGAGTGCAGAGTATCTCTATGAATGTTTCATTGAGACCTCTCAGGAGGATTCAAGGGCATCCTGTGCCCTGTGTATGTAAACAAACTGCTCTGCATGGCCACCCCCTGCCAAAACCTACAAGGGAATGAGAAGCAGATAGCAACTCTACCTCTCTTGATTGTACCACTACCTTTTCTAGCAAAATGAAAGGTCAAAAGATGTATCCTACTACTTTGGGAATGCCATCTCTGTAGCTGAAAATCTATCTATATATTTACCCTTCCCTTACATTGGGCTTGACTGGTGAACTGGCTAGACTGCAGTGGGGTCAAAAACAGGTCCTGGCTTGCTGTGTACCAGGATCCCCTGGTCACCTGTCTCCCATTCTCCTCCTCCCTGTTCACAGCAGGCATCTGTGACTCCGGCTCCTTGAAGGTATCCATGCTGCTGTGAGGGTTGGGGGTGATGTCTCTGCTGAGTATAGCATGCAGCATGACACACGTAGTAAAAGTGGCAGGTCTGCGGCTTGGTATCATATCCATTTGTTGTCCTCCCTGGCCTTCTGATATGCCTGCTGCAGCTCCTTAGCGACACTGCTGCTAGTCCCTGTTGTATCCCTTTTCCTGCATCTGCTGAACAATCCGCTCATAGACGTTGTTGGTTTGGAGCTGTGACTTCATAGCCTCCTCTCCCCACAGGCCCAGAAAATCCAATATTGCATGTCTACTCCAGACATGAGTGTGACTAGAGCGTGTAGCCAGCATGATCAGCTGGGCAGTTGCACTCAACAATGGAGAGCTGCTAGGTGTGCTTGCCAAGCTGGGCAATCAGGAAAAAAGGAGTTTCAAAAATTTGTGGGGCTTTAAAGAGGCAGGGGTAATTCTGGTCTCCATGACCCCTGAGCAATGGAATTCACATTGATGACCAGAGCAGTTCATGAGAGGCACTGTGGGACAGCTGTAGAGGACAGTTAGGGTCAAAATAAATAATGCAGTGTCTATGCTTGCATTGCATCCACCTAAGTACGTTGATTGTGGCTTTATGCTGCTTGGGGAGATGGTGTTACTATGTTGGAGTAAAGGGGCACTTACATGGGTGGGAGACCAATTTAAGTGTACATGTACAACTAGGTTGACGTAAGATGCCTTGTGTCGACCTAACTTTGTAGTGTAGAGCAGGCCTCTGTGCAGCTATGGACAAGAGGAGAGTTAAAAGACCATGTGGCCAGTCTATACAAGAGCTAAGGTTGGCAATTTCCAGACTAGTGTGGACACAAGCTGCAGTCTCAGGTTTGATCAATACTACAGAATTAGGTCAATGTAAGGCAGCTTACATCAACCTAATTATGTCGGTGTCTACACTACAGCCTTGCTCCCACTGATGTAAGTGCCCTACTACACCACCAAAATGACAAAATAACTCTACCTCCACGAGAGGCATAGGGTTTACGCTGCTGTAGTTAGGGCAAGGCAGTGTCCATGTATACACTAAGGGTTACTTACATCAGCTCTTGGCTGTCATTCTTGTGAATTTCACGACTCCAGCAGGGAGCCATGAAATTGACAAAAACAAACAAACAAAAAAAACAGGCTCCCAGCTCTGGTGTCACCCTGAGGTGACTGGGGGCTCCAGCTAGAGCCCTGCTGCTCCCAGCTCCCCACTCCGAGCCAGGCTGCTGCCCAGGCTCCCCGCTCTCCACACTACCCTTTTTAAGTCAGTGAAAGCACTCCTGTCAAGGACGGGCACCAGGGACAGAAGGAGGGTAGTGTGGACACGACCACAATTACTGCGGTGGCTGTAGCTGGACTTAAGTTTGTAGTGTAGAGATGCCCACAGTGAAGTGAAACCAACAAGGGGAGCAGAAAGTGGCTTGTTGGGAATCCTGCTCCCGACCAATCAAGAAGCAAGGCGGCGTGGGGCTTGTGGGGGAGCCTCCTTCCCCTCCAGGCAGTAACAGCGCTTCAGGGAGAGACGCGGAGCAGCTGCTCGTCCTTACAAGCGATCGTTGTGACGAGCCGTCAGGGATCCACGGTCTGGAGACTGCAGCTCCCGCACCTGTCCGGGCCCAGCAATTAGCGCACCGCAGGGGCGGGGGAACTGGCGCCCCACCGCCCTGAGGAGCGGGGTGCGGAGCTGCCGCGGTGTAGCGCGGGCCGCACTGCCTGAGCAGACCTCCGCGCGCGGCGCCGCCCGGCGGACGCACCTAGCGAGCCGGCGGCAGTCCCAGCCCCAGCTCGCTGCTTCCGGAGTCCCGGGCACCTCCCGCCCGTGGGGGCAGGGCCCGCACCGCTAACCCCGCCTTCCCCAGCTCCCCCCCGCGCGGGTGGATGCTCTCAGGCTGCCTCAGTGAGGTCTGTCTCCCCTGGCTGGTGCTTGATGAGCGCTGCCTGGCGCCGGCGCCGCCGCTCGGGCTGCTGGGTTCATTTGTTATCCGGCGGCCTGGCTCCATTGCTGCACTGAGGGCCCTGAGCGGCTGCGTCCGCGGCCGGTCCCCTCTCGTCTCTATTGTGTGTCCCGCAGGCCCAGCCTCGCCCTGCTCGGGCCTCAGCAGCCATGAGCACAGAAGACGAGATCATCCGCATCGCCAAGAAGATGGACAAGATGGTGCAGAAGAAGAACGCGGTGAGCGGCCGGGCGGGGGGATCAGCGCCCCACTCTCCTCCCGCGCGGGGCCAGCTGGGGCCTCCGCCCTGTTTCCTGTCAGCGCTTGGGGTCCCGGCGCTCGTCGCGCGCCACTCTCTGCCCCTCCCCCCTCGCAGAGTGCCTCGCGCCCAGTTGTGAGGTCGCGGGCTCGCGCACGCCCCCAACCGTCCCCCGAAGGTGCCTGGCGCTCGGCGGGGCGCGCTCTTTTCCCCAGTCGCCTGTCTGGGCGAACTCCGCCTGCTCCCGGTGCCCCTTCGGCCAGCGGAGAGCCGGGTTGGTCCGTGAGCCGGGGCGCTGCAGCGCTCCGGCACCGGGTCTCCTCTTGTCCTGAGTGGGCTTGTTCCAGTGAGTGCGCGCCGGGGACTCTTCTCCCCTCCCAGAGAAACCCCCTGCCCCGCGTGGGCTGTGCCCGGGCCGTGCCACCGGGCGCTGCTGGGCTCGGGGAATACGAGCCCCTCGCTAGGTCCCCAGCAGCGAGCGAGTCGCCGAAGTGACCGGAGCGGGAGCGAAGCAGCAGGCTCGATGGGCTTGGGGAGGGGACGCTCCGCAAGTGGCGGGTTGGCCGGGGAGCCCCGGTAACGCCCCGCAGCCCGGGCTGGCAGACAGGTCCGATTACACACGTTGCCTTCAATCACTAGCATGAAGTTGTGTCACGTGAGATGTTAAAACCCGAACTGAACAATGGAGGGTAGCTCCGGCGCTGGGGATTAGCTGTACCAACCCTCTGAAACGGCCCCCGGCACCGCATAGGCTGGCAGCTGAGACAGTTCATAGTTGTGACTCTAGGCAAATGATCAAGCCAGACGAATTTACTATGTTAATAAATACAAGTAGCAGCTGGTGCAGTATGAATGGAGGTGGAGTTTTACAGAACACTTGGATCCCGATGGTTGGTTAGTTCAAATAGAAAGCAAGGTTCTCTAGTGTTAAAGACCTCAATTTGTTCATGTGAAGCAACACATAACTTGGGCAGTTAATACAGAATTCTTATCCCATCCTCTGCGTATCCCCTCCTTACAAATATGTCACTGCAAGAGTCCAGGGACAGTCTGTTAACCTGTTCAGGTGAATTATGAACCAATGAAGCTTTGAGAAACAATACCATCATTGCTATTTCATTTATTGGTATTTTCTGTATGGACTAGTAATTCAGACAACTGTATTTAAAGTTAGATTTTTGTGTTTAATGAGGTTGTTAAATCCTAAATCTCATTGAGTCTTCAGGAATGAGCTGACTGGGAATCCACTCTAGAGCATTTTTCTTAACTAGATGCAGTGTGGAAAATTTTGTTTTCTGTCTAAGGTGTAATCTTTCTATGGCTGCTCTTCCTGGACTTGTCTGTTAGAAAAAATTACTTATTGCAGGTAATGTGTTATGGTTTGGCTGGTGCGGAACCCAGTCTAATTGTGACTGTAGACCAGGACAAACTATATTGAGCACTGTTTCAGAAACCTTGGTACATCTTAATCAGCCCTATCAGTTAAACCAGGTTCAGCACCAGTGTAGCTCAATCTGTTGCTGACACCCATTGGTGGCAACAGGTAGCTTTCCTACTCTACATAAGGTTCTTGGGTCTGACTGACATTTTTCTAAGAGGATGAATATTCTCAGTTTTTTTCTCTTCCCCCTTGTTTATTCATTTGATGTTTTCTTTTTTTCTGCTCCCTGCTTATTTCATTCTACATGCACGTGTGCGTACCAAGGATAGTAAGCACAGATAGTTACAATACTACCCTCAATTACAGGAAGAGCACCTGAATTCAACTCAGTGGGTTTTTCTTTTCTATGTTTTCCTTAATAATTTTTTGCAAATTGTAAGGTACAGTAAAACCTGCCTTAGAGACCACCTCTGAAGAGAGATCACCTGTCACGAGTGACTACTTGCAGAATCCACAGAAAACCACCATGCTCTAATGTAAAAACCTTTGAAGAAAGACCACCTCTTAGAAGAGGCCACTTTTACTAACTCCCACGAGTGGTTGCTCTTGGCTGGTATTACTATATTTCTTTTCAAATCTTGCAGTACATTCTCACTTGACCCTGCAATATAATCAGAATACTAAATTAATGACATACTATACAGACCATTCCTGAAATTTACCAAGCTATCACACACAAGATTATAATTTTATTGGAGGATGAAGCTGAATTGATAAGTGATCTCTCTCTCACACAAATAACAAAGTTTCTGACAGCAACTTCATATTTACATAGTTTTCCAGCAGTATGAACTGCTCCTTTTGGAAAATCTTTTAGTCAGTTTTTGTTTTTTATGCTGACAAATACCCCTTTTAAAAAAACACTGCCTTGGAGCATTTGAATAAAATTTTGATGCATTGCTGCAACTGAAAATGATTTGACTGATGTATATGTCTATGTGCAAACATTTCCAAGGACACTTTTTGAGCCCTAATTTGTCAAAGAACAGATGGGAAAGGATGATTTTATTTAACCTACCATTGAAAATCTTTCTCCATGGCTCATAACAGAACATTGAGCTGTAGTATCCCAGTTGTCTGGAATTTGACTTGTGATGAATGAAAAGTATAACATCAACATGGACATCCATTTTTTTCATGGGTAGACTATTGGTGCTCTGTAAATAATAAATTGGCTTGTTAAATTGCTGCTGTGCTGAACTAATATACTGAGCTTAATCAAAAGTAATATTACGTAGTTTTGTTTCAACTGGCAGCGATCACACAAGATTGTATTGAAATACTACACTTTATAACATACAACACTTGACACATGTCTCAGATACGTTATATTGTTCCTCCAATAAGATTGTAATTAAATTGAAATGTACTATTCATTATTCAGTTGCACCTTACCTGTAGCCTTAGTTAAAAATGTGTACCATTTATTTTTATTTTATATTTTCATCAGTGTAATGAATGTCCTTATTGAAATGCGTAGGAGCATGTGGGCAGAGGTAATGTTGCACATATGAATTTTCAAAAACCAAGGACAGTTCAGTAAGTTTAGAGAAGAAAAGGTAAGAGGAAGTATTTAATCTTACTAGATTTAAATTGTAGCTCCCCTTAATAGAACAGACCATTACTGTGTAACTAACTTTACATTTCAAGTATCAGAGGGGTAGCCATGTTAGTCTGGATCTGTAAAAAGCAACAGAGAGTCCTGTGGCACCTTTAAGACTAACAGATGTATTGGAGCATAAGCTTTCGTGGGGGAATACCCACTTCGTCAGACGCATGCCATTACATAGGTAGTACTTTAAAAAGTTACTTTGTTTTATAACCTATAACTTCTAAATTAGTCAATGCAGACATTTTCCCTCAGATTGTGATTTGATTAATCTGGGTGTGTTGTGTGGGGATATTTTTTTGTTTTGTTTGTAAACTGCACTAGCTAGATATTGAGACTTGTTTCTCAGTTATTGAGGGTGTCAACAAATCAATTGTGAAAAGGAAGTATGGTTTTTAAGGATTTTATATAGGAATAAGGTTACTTTAAAAGTTTATTTGCCGTTTCAAGTGGATGGCTGTACATGTCTGAGATGAGATTGTAAGTGTAGGTCCTTTCACCAGTTATCAGAGCCAACTGAAATATTGAACTACTGCTTTTTTTGGTGCAGAAAATTGTGTGACTACTTCACAAAATAGTTGCTGTGACAAAGCGGTTTTCGACCTCTTTCGTACATTAGCTCTATGTTAAAACAGAAATAGTGTTGGGTTTTTCCTGTCACGGAGTCCCCGGGGTGTAACCTGGACTGTGGGACCTCTGAGCCCTCCAAACCCAACAACCTGGGGTGTCCCTATCACACTGTGATGCTGTGACAAGCTACAACAGGTACTGCACTTACATAGCCATCCACAGCAGGGACACACCCAACTGAGTTATATGAATGATCTCCCAGCCACTCATGAACCATCAGTAGAGAGGCTTCAGCCAATTTCCCCCCAGCTCCAGCCCCACCCCAGAACTGAACAGTCTTTCACTGCTCAAAAGCCTGACCAATGTAAACTCATTACTTAGTTCACCACTTCTTCATAGGAAAGTGGACCTGCACCAGCCATTGTCATTTGAGCTGAGATTCCCAAAACACTTCAACCAAAAGCACGCTGTTTTAGGTAAAATACAAAACAGACTTATTAACTACAGATAGATTTGAAGTGTTTGTAAGTAGCAGGCATAGAGATTAAAGTTGGTTACCTAAGAAATAAAAATAGAAATGCAATCTAAATTCTGACTTTAGCAGACTAAGCAAGATTTGAATCCTAACAGATGTTACAGACACTTTACAGTTCTCAGACTAGACTTCCTTCCAGACGATCTTCGAGGTGTTGAGATGGGGTCGAGGGGAAGAGAGGCCAAGTGATTATGTCACTGTCACTCTTTTATACTTTCTTCTAGCTGCTAGAAAGATCCTTGCTGTGACATGGGTTAGTCCACCCCCGTGGCATATGAGCAGGGCCAGATTAACTCTCCTGTGGGCCTGGGGCTATTAGATTTTGTGGGGTCCCTATATACAAGTCTTTTTCCTAATTTAAAACAAAATGATCACAATTATGGCATCGAGGCTATTAATGCTATACTAAACTTGCCTTTTAATTGAAGTAAAGATGTTCTGTGGTTACATTTCAGTCTTAAAACATGTAGATTATAGTTAATTCAAAATAGCCAACTACTTACCTTAGAACAGCTGTTATATTAGTTTCTGCCTGGGAGGGAGTTTGGGTGGAGGAGGGGGTGCGAGGTACAGGCTTCGTCCAGGAGGTGCTTACCACAGGCGGCTCCCAGCTGGTGGCGCAGCAGGGCTCAGGCAGGCTGCATGCCGTGGCCCCACGCCACTCCCGGAAGCAGCCGGCTGCTGGCATGTCTCTGCGCGCCCCTGGGGGAGGGGGACAGCGTGTCTCCGTGTGCTGCCCACAAGCGCCACCCCCGCAGTTTACGTTGGCCAGATCCCGGCCAATGGGAGCTGCGGGGATGGTGCTGGGGGTGGGGGCAGTGCATGGAGCCCGCCAGGGCCACAGAAACGTGCCAGCAGCTGGCCACTTCCGGGAGTGGCATGGGGCATGGCATGCAGGCAGACTGCCTGAGCCCTGCTGCGCTGGGGCTCCCCTTAGCCTGGGGCCCTGGGTTGCAGCCCCTAAAGCCCCTGCATTAATCCGGCCCTGCGTATGTCCCTTCTCTGAGAAACCTCTGGGATACTGGATTCTTTTTGATGGGCTGCCAAGGTCTTTCTGGCCCTCCTTTGTTACAACTGAAAGGCTTGCTGTGGGTATCTCCCAACCTCACAACATTTCAGCAGCATGTATAGCAATACTTCATAAATTCACATGCAGTGGTAGTACAGACAGTCAACAGAATATTAATGTTC